GATCTTCACAATGTCATACTGTGTAATCAGGGAAATAAAATACACCTGAATCCAATGCTATGAACAGCACCACTCTGATTGACCCTAGGCAGATTTGGGACATGAAAGCAATAGGAACTAACTTATTAAAAATCGAGGTAGACTTTTAAGAGCTCTGTTGAAAGTAATTTAGGAAAATCAGGTTCTTCAAATATAAAAACAAACAAACAAAAAGAAAATCTTACACTGTTGCTTTGGCATAAAATATACTTCTAGGTAGTAGTTTGTGAGGGTTTATCTTAATTTCTTTCGAAGACTCTATTCAAAAACAAAGTGATCCATTAATTACCAGGGAGGTTGCTTCTCTCATGCTCATACAGTGTCTACCTAAATTGAGCTCCTACATCCTTATTTGTGCTGTAAGTGGCACAGAGTTGTTCTAACTCATCCCATCAGTTTATCACTGCGGTTGTTGTATTTAAAACACTCTTATTTGTTATTGTAATCTACACATTCTCAGAACACATAATAAAGAGGAACATTTGGTGATGTTGGACTTATTCAGAAAACAGATATGATCTAAAAAAGCATGACTGGTTTTAGGAGACAAACAACCCAAGAGTGAACAAAAGCAAACTGAGAGGAGCATTCAGTGATCTTGGGCTTACTTAGGAAATAGAGTTAGAGGCTGTTTTGAACTCAATATCCAAATGGCTACTGCCTCTATACAAAAGCAGAGTTATTAGATATTGACAGCAAACTATTGCTATTTATTTATGTTTATTGCTTTTCACCTTGTTTTTAAGGTGTTTGTAGATTTGGAAGGCTGACTGAAGATAGCAAAGGCTTCAAAATAATAACTACTGAATGCATTAAGTATCTAGCTGAGGTCATCTAAGTAACTTCAAAGTGACAGCCAAAAAAATAATCATTCAAATCACATTAGTTTTACACAAAATCTTACTTAATAGCAAGCACTGTGTATTTCTGAGAATATAAGTATTTTCCATTAATTAAGAGTTCTCCAAAAGTGTATAACGAATAGAAAACACATGCCATTAATATTCACTTGGGGCTAAAGAACAACTCTGATAATATCTGTTCTCATTAAGCTTTTCATTCCAAGTACTGTTTATCAGACAGATCTCTTGCATCATGAGAGTGCTTGTTTCAGATGAGCACACAGAAAACTTCCTTCTCCAAGGACAAACTCTCCAACTATTACCCTTTTTTTTTGTGCAGCAGAGAGAGGAAATGGAAAAAGAAGATTCCCCATGCTTGAAAGAAGTTCCTAACATGTCAGGATGCCAAAAGAAAATGTACCTTTTTGAGGAAGTAATATGAAGAAGTGGAAATGCCTACAAAGGACAATATTTGAAGAACAGCTACTTAATCTTGTAGCTCATGTCTAAGAGTAATAGGTTCTACACTCAACTAATCTTTTACATTGTATGCTACTTCAAAGCTCTAAACAAAGGAATACTGCTCATATAATTAATGAAAGTCAACATTTTTTACACTAAACCTTTCCTGTATTACCCTCTGTTTTCTCCTAGAAGTCAGTGACAGTGAACAGATGGTGAGTCCACAATAATATTGCTTGTGTATTTTCCCTAATCTCCCAAAACAAACAAGTCCCAGTACAAATCCTCAAGGCAATGCATACAAGCACACACATATAAATATATTTATAAACAAATACATGCATAAATATATAGAAAGCAGATATCCATTATTAATAAGTTTTTATAGAATGCAATGGGAACAAAGTCTGTAGAGTTATGGAGAAACCTTGTCAACTGTGCAAATAGTAGTAATGGTGAATAATTTTCTGTGGTTATTTTAATCATTCTTTAGAATCTTACTATAGCAGCTTATTACATTCCATGTGAGGGCCAACAAAAGAAGAGGAAAAAAAGTAATTTATTCATCATTTATTTGTAATATATTCCATATTTGTAATTTATTCTTCATTTTAAAAATATTTGTTACAATTATTTTAAATTTTTAAAATATTTTAAAGAAATATGTAGGACTTTCTTATATATATCTGCTTTTTTATTCTCCTCTGCTATGACATAATGATATTTTTTGCTAGCATACATAAGAATTGGTATTAAAATGGATATTTAAATATAGCCTGTAGCACTATTAAAGTCATAAATTTTAAGCAACATAAGAGGTTGGAACTGTCATGACTATAGCTGAGGAAATAATTGGATATATTAGTCACAAATTATTGTTTCAATAGATCCTTGAGTGAGTCATTATGACAGCCCTACTTGTAATCACCCCTGTTAATTCAATTTGTTTGCATGAACCCTGGAAAGTGACTATTTTTCAGACAAATCATTCATGTATATGGATCATTTCAGCCCCGACTAAACTCTTACTTCATTTCAGGTATTTTTGTCATTCCTTTTGGAACTGCTGGTCCTCTGCTTTTAAGGTTTTAGATACCACAATTGCACTATTGCTAGCTATTAATTAAATTAATGTTAAGAGAAGAGCTATACCAATTTCTGCAAGCACAAGCCAACTGTGGCTTCAGATTTAGACATCACTTCCCTGATGCCAAGATGGTAGTTTCTCCTTAAAACAAGTTTTAAAATGCCTGATATAAATTCCATCACTGTGAAACTTTTTAAAGGATTCTCTTTAAAACACAGGAGAAACACAGAACCATAGAATGGTTTGGGTTGGGAGGAACTTTAAAGACCATCCAGTTCCAACCCCCCTGCCTTGGGTAGGGACACCTTCCACTAGACCAGGTTGCTCCGAGCCTTGTCCAACCTGGCTTTGGACACTTCCAGGGATGAGGCATCTTTTGTTACACTTTGTTTCTGTTTGGAAAATTGCAAAGGCTATTTTTCAGGATGCAGTTTTATGAAACGCAAGTGTTGCATTAAAGATAGAAAAAGAGGTAAGTTTCAAACAATCTAATCTTCAAAACCATTCCACCATCTTTTGTGTTAAACTTATCACATAAATGGTTTGAGTAAACATATTCTGCTTGAAAAGTTATTGGTTTTAACCTAAAAATATTTTATGGCTGTTTTTATAAGAGCAATTATTAATAGTTCTGCTTCCTATCCCTTTAAACAGGAGTGAAGGGAGAAAGCAGGAGTCAAAAAGCCCTGAAAAAGCAACATTGTCTGAGCATGAAAAATGTAGAGGCTCTGTGTTCTATTGACTGGTCTGTATTACAACTATGTACATATTGATATGTTAAACCTTTTCACAGGCATTGCAGAAGTAGTTATTATTTATAGAGTTTTGCTCCTTTATTAAAGACGCTTTAGTTCAGAATTGTCTTATGAAACTCTATTTTATGGACTCATAAAATAGGACTAAAAATATTCTTCTCAATATAACTTGCTAAACTGTAAAAAGGTTTATAGTGAAAGTAATTTTTATGGTTTGGGGTGGGTGTCTTACTGAAAAAAAACCACAGAAAAATTTTATGTATAGGACTATGCTAGAACATTCCATGATATTTCCAGGATGTAAATATATTCCAGGAAGTATTATCCAAAGACTAAGCAACACTGAAGATGTACTGTTGTTAATAATTCAAAGAAGATAAGTCAAGACATAATAACATAATTTAATATTCTTAAAGACATTCCTAATCTCTTTTTCCCCTAGCTTATTACTCATTAGGATGTCACAAAATAAATTACACTCCATCTTTGCCCCGATTTGGGGTTGGGGTTGTTGTTTGACAGTATAATTCCACGATTCTCTCTCTCTCTCTCTTTTTTTTTTTTCTTTAAGGAAAAAAAAGACATTTCCTGCCAAAGGATTTTCCTAATTCCTCCCTTTTCCACATAAATCCTGTTCTAACCGATGTGGGAATTACTATCGGTACATGCTCACATCTGAATAGGGACACTGATTACAGAAGTAAAAGCAAAAATTATGAGTAAGAGATTAATGAGAGAAAGAATCACTACTGAGAAAATATTTACAATATTTTTTTTTCTCACTACTGAGAAAAATATTTTTGAAAATATTGTTCAGATGTTGAACTAGTTTCACCTCTGGAATAACTTTTCCTTTTTCACTGTTATTACATCAGGGAGCTTTATCCCTGATGTAATATTTTTACGTCTTAGTTAATAAAGCTTCATGGCTTTCCTGTTAGGTACCTATAGTAACTTCTCCTTCCCACAGACATAAATCATCTCCCACTTTATCTCCCCTTTTATTTTCATCAGCAGGAACACTTGTTTTACAGATTTGCAGTGTCACTTTAAATGTTGTATTGTGGCTTTAAATGAGCAAGTACCAATGAAACTCTCGATTTCTGAATGTTGGATAGCAAAGTTGTTCATACAAAGAACTTGCATTTTTTATCTTGACTCTCCCATACTGCTGTTTTCTTAGGAACAGTGGAGAGGCAACAAGCAAACACATAAGGGGGTGTTTTGGAGTTTTAGGTGTAACTTAAGGCCTTCACAATGCTGGAGCAAACACAATTTCTGAAAGGACCCCAGATTTTGACAGACCTATATCACCTTTACTGGGATGTTGAGCCTTCCCCTCTTCTCAGTCCTTGTGAGGCACATCAGGGGTATTGGGGCCACTGCTGGGCTCCCCAGGACAAAGAAGGACACAATGAAGCAAATCCCATGCATCTTCATCAGAGCTGACGAAGGGACTGGAGCATCTTCCTCATGAAAGACTGGGAGAGCTGGAACTGATGAGTTCTGGAGGAGAGAAGGCACAAGGGATTTTATCAATACCTAATGGAGACAGATGCAGACTCTTCTCACTGGTGCCCAGTGACCAGTCAAGATGCAACAGACACAAACTGAAACGCAGAAGGTTCCCTCTGAACATAAGAAAAAAACACTTAACCATGAGGGTCATCAAACACTGACTCAGGTTTTCCAGTGAGTTGGTAGGGAGATATTAAAAACCCAACTAGATATGGTCCCCAGCAATCTGCTTTAGCTGACCCTGCTTGAGAAAGAGGTTGGACTAGACAATCTCCAGCAGTGTCCACTGACCTCAGCTACCCTGTGATTATGCCACTCTGTGAAAGAAAACACTGCCCAAGCCACAGACATTTTGCAGAGCTGCCTCATGGACCTTTTGGCTTCATCAGTTCTTCTCAGTGTTGATGGGATGGGAGCAGGGGGTGGAAGTCTCTTTCTTCCCTGATCACAGTGTCTTGCCTATTTCCCCTCAGAGATAAGTAATCTTCATCCTGCCAGTTCCTATGCCTGCAACAGACTATCAGAGGAGATATTGCATTAAAGGCAGCAATGCTACTGATGTGGTTAGAACTCAAACGTATACAAACATGCCTGGAACATAAGGTCTCTAAATAGCTTTTTCTTTGAGTTGTGTTGGTGTTTTTGATGGTAGAAACTTTCCACCGCTGGAATGCAGACATTACCATCTCATTTCACTGTTCAGTAGCCATCAGATGATGATAACAGTGAACCCAGCACCGTTTCAATGCTTCTGTAACTTCAGCTACTTGGAAGCTTTGAGTTTCAGGTCATCTGTAAATCTCCAGTCAAACAATCACCATCAGGTGTTGAAGAAACAGGAGAAGGTTTCAAAGGCTCTCTGGTGCGAGGGCATCCGGCATACTGAAAGGAAAGGAGAACATAGAAAAGCTCTGGACTTCCTGCCATTATTTAAAAAAGCCCTTCAAATGTCAAGCATGAAAGAACTAAGCTATTGTAACAGCCAGCACTCTCACCTCCCAGGAGATGAAATACTTCAGAGCTTCATTACATCTCCAGATATACCATTAGCTGAGCCCACACTAAAATATCTGCCATTCTTAATTTAGTCCCTCGAAGCAATCAAAACTGAAAACTATGCCAATGTTCCTTCTTCATCTATGAAAGAATTGATTGCCTCTTTCTGGTTATTAAATAGAGAGTAATATAAAATAGTGTATGTTAAATATTTTTGGGTATTCATTGTAAGTGAACTAACCAGATGATTTCACGATCACCGGATGCCCAAGCAGAGGCTGGAAGCAGTTAAACCATCCCACCTATTGCAGTGTTTCAGTACTTTCATGTGCTTCAAATAGGAAGTGGACCTGATATTTCATATACCTTATATATTCATATCTCAGTTACTGAGCTACGTGGCAAAGGAAGTAAAATATAACCTAAGGAAATTCTTTTTAATGTCAGTTTGGGAACAAGGAAGACTTCTCCAACCATAGTCATTTGAATGGTAGTAGCTTTGCTTAGATACTGCTCATAGGTTTAGTTTCCTTTTTGATGGCAGGGAAAGCCAGATTGCAGCCTTTTCCAACACACCACAAAAATTGCATATTAAAAAATAGGATTTGGGCACTTGCCAAGATCAGACAATAAATTATGGGCAAAACTAAATATAGTGCCCAAATACAACCCATTTGTGCTACTGGCTCACAAAGGAAGGCTGGATGGAGGTATGCAGAATTCCCCCTATTAGATCACTGAAAAATTCTTGGCCTTTTATGCCACTTCTGGGCAAGATTTATGTAGAATAGAGGCAATTAAGTCAATATTTAACCCATTTAGTCTTTTATGTAGCTGGATATAAATATCTCATTATGATGTCACTTCTTTTTATTTCCACTGTTGTCATATGGGGTCACTTCACAACATGTGGAAGCTAAAATTAAAGTGTGAAAGTACTTTTAATTAACTTTTTCTACCCTAAAGATTTATTCTTTACAGAAGATTAATAATGTGTAAAAAGGGTCATGCCAATTATCAACACAAATATGTCTTACAGAGTATTTATTTTTTGTATGCAGTTGCAAGCTCTAGCTGAATTTCTTGCATTACAAAATGTGTCAATTTAAGTTTCAGAGCAAGAAAAAAAGTACTGTTTTGGTCCATGTCCTTCAAAGATCATTGATCTCCTGTTGTAAGAGATCTTCAGAAACAAAAAACAAACATGAGGCTGCAACAAAGTCAGTAAAGGTACCTGAATGGGAAGCTGTCATTTGAGAAGCTAAATGGCTTTATTTGCAGTTGTTCAGCTTTCCTTCAGCCACTTACTGCTAGCAATCCTGTAAATGTTTGGCTTATGTTTGCAATGTTTTGTCTTTTTTTTTTTTTCCTAAGGAACCTCTCCACTGAAATTTTGCTGTTTAATGGTTCATGGATTATTCATACATCACATTGTGACACGTATATTTAACTGCAAATCCTGTTTTAATTGGAAAAAGTCCACAACAGTGCTTGATATTCTTCTGTGCAGCTTAGCAGTGATGCTAAGTTAACTCAAGAACTCCTTTAAAATGATTGTGGCATGTTTCCAATTTAAAAAAAAAAAAAAAAAAAAAAAAAAGGAGTAAATGAAAAGCAGTATGATATCAAGAGTTAAGCCACTGTTAAACAGAATTAAAATCATGGACTCCATTTCTAGAAGCAGTCACACACGTTTTGCTTTAAACATGCTGAAGTTGCACTGACTTCAGTGAGTCTCCTTGCATTACTTTGAGGTACTGAAATATTGTATAGAATATATATATGAATATATATATGAACATATTCTCTCAATATTTTATATTGAGAGAAATTCTTACTGAGCTTTTTCCTTAAGAACGCATCCAACTGTTTCTATTGATGTCCATGGATCAAAATCTGGGCAATTAATGATGGGAGGCATTGCTAAAAATCCTTGCTGCCAGCTGAAAACAGTGAACACCCACTCCAAAACTTCAACAGAAATTCTGCTAGAGTAGACAGAAGCATCTGCTTTCAAAACAAGCTTTCCTGCCCAGAAGGCTACAGAGCTGAGCAAAGAATATCCCAGTCTTCTCTTTCTGCACACACTTTCTATTATTTATGATCCTAATTCGTTGTGATATTTCATGTTAATGAAGTGTATTACTTTCGCCATGTATAATAGGATCATAAATATTTGTATATAAATTTATAGATCTTAAACATCTTGTAGGGAGAAACTTACATTTTCTTATGTCAAAAGGGCATACACATCCTCCTCTATTTTTTTCAAGGTAATGTGAAAATATCTGGGCAATTTAAGAGACTGAAACAATTTCAAGCATGTCTGATTGAATGGCTGCCCACCTCCTCACGTGGAAATAAAAGCTTTTGTTAAAGTACAGATGAATTACTTCACTCAAACCCTTGGAAAAAAAAAAAAAATTTTGGCTGTGCATTTGTTCATTATATCCAGATGTACATTATTAGCTGTCCATAGCTGGTTCTACTAATAAATCAGGCCTGAAGGATTTTCTTGTGCAAGACGGAGAGAGAAGAGTGCTTTTGTTTGTTTTTTGTTGCTTTTTTTTTATCACAGCTGATTTATTTGTTATGTTTTGGTTTGTTTTGTTTTCTACTTAGGACCTCCTGGCAGCAATAGTACAATATTCAAATGGCTTTCAGAACAGAAGTGTATGTTGTATCAGGAGTCACGGCTGAAACGTCGAGATCTTACAGAACAGAATGTGCAGAACTTGCGGATGGGAAAACTAAAAAGAGACAAAAAACAATTCCATACACTGTTCAGCTGTTTTGTTAACACCTACCTAGTAACTGAAGAGAAAAATTTACATATGTATTTTCTTTAATGGACATGCAAAAGCAGTTGTTTTCCAGCCAGCCCGCAACTGCATTTAGTAGAAAACCCAGATGTCATCTCCTCCTCACTCTTATCTCCTATGTAAGATGAGGCAGAGGGAGCCCTTCCATAATTTTACATTTTTTTCCTAGCTTTCCTTTAGTGGGAACTCATCTATCCTGCTGTCCCACATAAATCCCAAACATCGTGAGCTGTGCTGTCTGAGCCATTTGTCCATGGAAATACACACTCATTTCTCTTTCTAAAAATGTACAGGATGCAAGGAACACTTATCTCTGCAAAAGCTGCAGGGAAATTAGCAGTCCTAGTGACAGCTGCAAGAGAGAAAGCTCTGTGACATCTTGCAGAACTGGACTTTATGTCATTCTATTGTAACCTATCTTGTCTTTTCAATGATAAACTTTCTCAGAGGATGGAGTGGATTTCTCACAGAGGATACTATACACAAACCCCCTTATGTTTACAGCATTTTATACATGGATAGTAACATTCCACATACATTATGTGGTTATACAGTGCATTTATTACCCTAGTTTATTAAATAAAACCTGCCATTTGAGACACTTAGAAGGTATTGGACAGAATTATTCCTATTTTGCAACAGACAACACTGAACTTTTTCCTAATATACACAATTTTTATGACAACCACTTGTGCTCTAACTGAATTACTTTCCAGAGCTGAAGTCATAATTTTGATGAAACCTTTTCCTCCCCTGAAAACACACTTTTTTGAAACACACTTTTTTGAACCTTTCATGATGTAGCTTTGGAGGTGTTTATTTTCCTCCTCTTTGATGTCTTTTCAGACAGACTGTTAGTTTTTCACTCTCTTGCCTCTGTTACACTGGCACCAATAATTAACAGACCACTTAATGAACTTGAAAAATATGGAAGAAAATTACTATGTCAACTGTTTTTACTGCCCTCCATTTCTCAGCTCCCAAGATCCTTCCAGTACACGTGCTGTCTAAAGACCCTGATATTATAGAAGTAGAATTTGAGCAAAGGGGCTTTATTTCCCATTTTCCTTTTTAATGGATGTTATATTTGGACACAACTAATTCCACAGCATCAAAGTGCTCCTTACCAGCAGAGGTTGGCTGCATTGCTGTCGTGGCATAATGTGGAGCTCTGCTCCTGAAGGTGAAATTTGTCATCGTAGTCACATGTAAAATCTAAGCAGCATCAGCAATTCTGAAGATCTATGATGTCCTCACTTGAATCAGCTGGCTTAACACTTCCTCCATGCTTACACTGTAAAAAGACAAAAACTGCTGTCACACAGAGTGTTTCATGTATAGAACAGTTGAGGGTTGCATGTTGGTGAGAAAGATGAGTTTTCAGTGACAATGGCTCCTCCTTTTTAATGAGAAACACTAAAACTAAAGAGAAACTAAGAGGATAGAGCTGCTTTAGACATAATTTAGAAGCTTTGGTATGGCATAAATTACGGCAAATTCAAGTAGTCCAAAGAGTAAATTTAATCTTTAATCCAGAATTGCCAAAGGACCATATGCTCCGGCCTCACTCCTCTCCGTGCCTTTCCTGACAATAGGATGATGTATATCCCAAAGAGAAAGGACTCTTCTGAAAGCAGCCTTACAAAAGTAAAATCTCCTTCCCAGAGAGTCCTCTCATGACATCTGCACTGTCACTTTCACAAAGCCCATTACGCTGGGGATTAGTGGTAAGCAAAGTCTTTGCACGCAAGCAGCTCTGAGAGGAAGGGAGCTGAGCAGGTTAAGCTACAAGTACAACTTGCAGGAAGTGAGCAGGATGAACCCAGCCTGCCTTTTTATTAAATAAAAAGGCAAAACCCCATAAAACTTAAAAACCATTATTGTAATGCGGGTCTATGGGAAATGAAAAATATTGCAAAAAGGAAAATAGTCTGCTTTGCATAAGTTGGCTAAGGGTGGAGATAATTTCTGACAGAAAATTCTTCAGTTTTATCTTTTCCTGAACACTTTGATTACAACAGTAAAAAGAAATGGAAGCATGTCAGCTCACTGAGATAACTGGAAAAAAACCTACTTTTACTGAGAACCGTAACATACTCTTAGTAAGCATTTATAGTCTATATTTTAGGACTGTTTCACTGTCTTTTCTAAAAATAACAGGTGGTGATTACTCCTGCAGCCTGTGTGACATACTCAGATAGGTATAAGCCATTAACAGTTTCCCAGGTTCTTCAGGGATCACGTCAAACAAGAATTATTGGTTTCACTTGTTAGAAGCAAAAAGCATTAGGCAGGGCAAGGAAAAGTGAGACATGCTAGAGATCATGTTTGACCCCAACCTTGATTTTCAGGGCTTTTGACATGTCACTGTTTATCACCCTACTTTATGCAGCAAGGAAACATATTTACAGCCTCCTGACCTCTTGCATCATGTCTCTAAGCATAACATATAAATTTACATGCATTCCAGGAATCCCTGTGCATCTAGTGAAATCCACATGTGACTTTCCGTGCCCATATTCCATCGTATTTTTACATGAACACATGGCTTTTAGAACAGATCCTGCTCATAATTTGGGGCCCTACTTTTTCTGTGATCCAGCCAAGGGATGGATTTTTCATTAATAGGGCCCTAAGACTTTACACTTGACTTTGGAAAAACAGCAAGCACTGGTGCCAAGTTTTGAACTCTGCACTCATTACAATGCAATCTGTTGTGTTACACACAACCAAAATCTAATTCTGGGAGAAACCAGAGTCCAGATCCAAAAATGGGCCTCAGTGGGCAGCTGGTTTTACTGAGCATGTGGCAGTACCAGTCCTGGGCATGTTGCTGTGGATAAGTGATGGCTCAGGGCTGATCTGTCAGTGTGCTGGAAGTGGAACTGGAGGATTTCTTCACCCAAATAAGTAGTGGGTTATGATGCATGCATGTCTTGGCAAAGTGCCTAAGTTTCAGTCATTTAGCATGAAAAAACCCTTCCTTTTTGTCTAAGTTTTCATTCATCTGTCTTCTAGCTCCCTTTATGGTAACAGATTCCTATCCACCAATGTACAGCCCTAGTAGAAAAGCACATCTCTTATCAGAAGTGTCCATATTTTTAATTTCAAATAGACTTGCATTTGCTGTAATTCAGAGATGCCAGGAAAATGAGGAATACTGCCAAGTGACTATCACTAATACCTCAAACTGTCATTACACGTTCCATCACAGGATCTTCGGACATCAGGAGGAACATCAATAAAGTCTATGATCAAGCACATCACATGTTCACAGAGCACCTATGTTCATCTTCAGCATTAAGTAGGTGCTAGTACACCTCACCTCTGTGGAACCTTGTCATCTCTAGTTTCAGAGTAAGTAACAGACATTCGTATAGAGGAAACTTGAAATACGGAGAGTTAAGAGACAGAAAACCTTTTGGCACAGCCAATATAATTCCAACCCTGCAGTTGCCTTGCATTTCTGTTGTTTTAAATTAAACTGGTTTTTGTAATTGAATAGAGTTGGGTTCAATACAGTTAAATAGCTTTCTGCAGGGTAGATATACCACTTAACTTAGAGGTTGATCTGTGCAGTGCCTGAGATGTGGGACATCCTGAGTTAAATAAAAACAGTGATGATAAATTAGGAAGGTGGCCTATATCTCCTTTGAGGTACCTGTGAATGTGAGCTGCCTATAGAGCTGTGCCTGGGTTTTATGCTGGAACTGGCCATCCTCCTGCAATTCTTTTCTGAGAAAACCATTCAAAAACACTTCTCTACGTTTTGGAAAAAGGGTTGAATTGACACCCACCAAAGCTGAAACTGTCAAAAAATAAAAAGTTTGGGCATTACACATTAAGAATTGCACCAACCTGTCAGCGCTTTGCAGGCTGTTCTAGAAGGACCATTCCCAGAAGTGAGAAAGCCAACATCTAGAATCTCCTTGGAGATGGTAGAGAGCCAACCAATACTAATTGTGGTGATGGTTTATTTCACGTACACTCCAGAACTGCCAAGCAGCAGCAAGGCCAAAACCATCGACTTCTTTAATTCAACCTTTATTATCTGTTTATCATTATAGGCATTTCCAAGTAATGCATCATTGTAGCATCTGGACACACTTTGCAATTACATGGAGCAGAACTGCATCCACTGGCACTGTTAATATTGCAAGCATTTATTATATTCTCATATTGTTTCTTTGCCTTGTACACAGTCTGAAACTGCTGGAAAGACAGACTTTGTCACAGGGATCTTGAAGTATGGACAAGCAAATTTTTCCAAGGAACACAACAAACTATTATGGCTATTTTTTTTCTTACTTTTAGCATCAATTCAAATGAATATACTTTGTGAAGATGAAGGCAAAAAAAAAAAAGACTGTGCCTTTGCAAAGAATGGAACAATATTTTTCATATTTACACAGCACTGATTCTCCAAAAGAAAACCATATCAGGAGTATCTGTAATATATATTCTTCTAGAGAAGACAAATTTTGATATATGCAACTAATAGATATTTCACTTCACCTCCAGGAATTGCAGTTTATGTTTCTGAGTAACTCCTGAGTTACACATGTTCTGATTCATTCCCAGTGAATATGGGGGATGCTCTACACGAAGCATTTCAGATTGTTGGAATGGCTGATGCAGGCTGGGAAGGCAAAGCCAAGATGTTCTGTGTGGTAGAAAGAGAAGTAAAAGAGAAGTGACTGACTGTCAGATTTAAGATTTTAAGACTGAAGTCAGGCAGCAGAGATGAGAGAAGGTCTTTCTGAACATATTTTAAAACTGCTGTTGAAGTGAACAAGCCTTATTAGATTTCATTGTTTCATGGTGTGTGATGTCACTAGAAATTTCAGATGTGAGCATAAACAGATTCCTTTAAATTTCTAGAATAACTTTTTCCTTATGCATTAGCCATTTTTGACTGGATATCATCTTGGATTACACACATTTGGACATGTAACTAATTTTACACCCCTATTCTTACATCCCAGGAAAGCACTCTTACACTGCAATTTTAGAGCCTCCTATACAGCAGGATTTCACTGCTAAGGTTCACTTGCTGTTCTCAGAAATCACTAAAATGTGTTTTCTTTAAGTATATTGGTATTTCTCATAATTCCCTTCAAGCCAAACCAAACAGTATCTTTAGATTAAAAAGGAAAACAAAATTCAAACCTGCTGAAGTTTTCCTTAACTTACAAGAATCTAAAATAAGGATAGTGGAATTAAGCCAATCCATAAGATGCACTTTTGTCCTGTGAATTTTCCAGCTAAAATCATGAATTGAAAATGGGAAGCTCATATTTGAGGCATCCTGAAAGAGAGAAATTGCAACAAATTGGAAAAGACAAGAATATCTGCACAAATACTGTGTCCAGATTTCCAGGACTGTGTTTATGATGAGCAGAAAGCCTGAAAGTGACTGAGTTGGACCAACCTGAGAGTCTGTGGATGTCCAGCAGGGCTGGTGTGTCCACCACAGGTTAACTGTGCCTGAGGGTACAAGAAATGTGAGTCAGAGCCCCAGCATTCAGATATCCCCCTCTGCAAGGAAAGGCTCTGGTGGCAACTTGGATCACAACAAAAAGCAGGTCCCACCACTGACCTTTCAAGCTCTGAAACTGCATTTTTCCAAGTCTTAATCACTATCTGGGATAAAAGAGATGCACAGAAGTGAATCTGGCAGTCACTGATCCCCAAGTTTCCTCTATCCCTTATACTGGGCTGCATTGTGAAAGTAGTGTAGCAAGTCAAAAAATCAGAGGTTTGGGGCTACTCCTTCTTCTTCTGTTAGGTGCAGAAGAAGCTCCCATTTGAAAACAAATTTCTAAACACGTGTGGAAGTGTTGGAGACACATGGATTATCTCACCTGTTGGAGAACTTGTTCACTGCAGGGCTCGGGTTCTTGACTTGCTTTTAAAAATGGTAACGAATAGCTCTGTTTTTCCTTATTTTCATTGTCACTTTAAACACAGAAAATAATCTGTAAAGAAGGTGAGAAGACTATTCCTTTTTGCTCTTTTCTCATGCCAAACACAAATGGCTGAACCTCTTCAAACTCTGCTTAAAACAAAAAAAAGATGCATATCAGTTACATAAAACTGATGTCCACAATAGAAAAGCTTATGCATTACTAGGATAAATATTGTTAGCAATAATGTCTACCAGAGAATAACAGGAAGAAAAGTGACATGGACATGCAAGTCCAAGTACTTTATATCACATAACATCAATAGACACACAGGTGCACACACACACACACACATATCTACAAACATTTGCAACCACATAAGACTTTCAAAGTCTCAGTTAAACAAGCATAATTCTGCATAACCTAAGCAAAAATTCTGGGTGCATTCTGCTTTCTAGATATCCTTCTGACTCTGGTGTTTTGTTAATGGGAAGTGACTGCAAGTAGGGGATTTGAATAAATATTTATTTATGTAAAACTATGTCATCTGCTGGAGGCTTCATTATTTTTTTCTGGTAAAAGGACTGATTAAATGGAAAGAGAAAAGAACGAATGTATGACATGTCACTCTTTTGTTTTTCTTACAGTGAAACAAGAAGGCCACGACACAGAAGCCCTCACCCACATCATGTCAATGTGCCACAGTGGTCTTACCATTGCCAGTATGTCTCCAATATTAACATTTTCCTCAAAAATGGATTAAGCTGAAATAGCTCATTTACTTTTTTTTTTTTTTTTTGGTAATTACAGTCTTTTCTTATTAAATGTAGTCTAAGAATTGGAGAAAATGTGTTGCTCATTAAAGTCATGTTTTATTAATAGCATTTTGCAAGAGTTCAGATTACACAGTGCGCTTTTTTTTATTCCTTTTTAAGGAGGTGTTGTAATTTTGGGAAGCAACATAGGCCCCATTTGAAGCCTGGGTTGCTCTGGCAAACTCACATTTTGATGCAATCATATTATAAATAATAACATGAAATTTTATGCAAATAGCTAGAATAAAGGTTAAATAAGCCTCTCAAATACCCTTAACTTGGGGCAAGATGCTTTTTTTTCTGTCAAGCCTAACAATTCCTGAGACCTCTTCCTGTACAACATCCTTTTGTATCCCTTTTTAACTGCATTTTCTTACTCTTTGGTGTTTTGAACTTCTTGGCTCAGGGACAGTTTCTGGATAAATTGCAAAGCAAAGTTCTATGGCCTTGGTGAAGATGAGTTTTATGAAGAGGCAGACTCCAAACACCATCCAAATCAGCTGAATACAACACAGCCAGCCTGACCCATCTCTTCATGGATTTACTACTTAGGATAAGCACCTGGCTCTTGGTCCTGCCCTAATCTAATGTAACACGGCAGGGGTCTTTGTCTCCCAAAACTGAGAGAAGACTTGTGGTGTTTAAAAAACAATTAGGAATAATAAAAGACATCTCCCAGGACATTCCCTTATTTACTCTTCTTGTACCAGAGGTCAGCTTGTTTCAACACACATTTTTTCATTTGTTTGTTTCTTTGACAATATTTAGTACATGTCAAGAGAGAACACTGATGGTTTGCTGATAGTGTCATATTAATAGAATAGTGAAAAGCTGTGTATTATTGCAGAGCAAATATAAATATACCCTAAGGAGGAAAGAGATCTTACTAATCACTACTGACCCCAGGGTGACAGATGAGAGAGCAGAAATTTGACTGAAAAAATTTGGCTCTGGGTCTCCAGTGCATTCACCCCTGTGGGATTTTGTGCTCCTTCCATAAATGCCAGGGGGTTTTATACTTACAGCTCTAAAGTAGAAAAGGAGGAAATTTTTTTTTCTAAAACATAAGGGAATTAAGTTATTGGTGGATTATAAGACTAAAACTAGCAATTCAAACATAAACAAAAATGATTCTAAATTAGTAGACAAATGAATTAGCTTATCTAATTTATTGATTTCCAAAGCTGAGATAATTTTATACCCTTCTGTGAAGCAGAATATTGAGACTGAAGGCCTTTTTGCAGGAGGCAGTGCCAGGAAGCACTAGGTTACATTCCTTGCTCTGTCTGCTTCTCTTTCTCTCTATCTATCTCACTTTGTCTTTTTGGGTTTCTATTCCCAAAGCTGCAGGGACTTTTTCATCAGCTGCTGGGCACAAGAGCAACCCCCCCAGGGAAAGCCAGGAGGGACGAGCTGAGGGCAAGGCTCGACCTCCCATCTCTTCCCATCTGGCCCCATCTGAGCTACCCTGTGATCCTGCTCCTTCACAGAGGTTTCCCAGGATAAATAAACAATGCAGATATTGGCCACAGAGCTGCAGAGACAGCGGTAGCCCAGAATTTCTGTCGCTTGGGAATTATGATATTTTTAGACCCGTGTTTAAGGTGTGCTGGAATTAAACATTTATTTAACTTCCATATGTCTTGAATCATGTTCTGAAACTTGCCTTTCTGGAATTAAATGTCAAATCAAAATTAAGCTATCATTATACTATTTTCCCACAGTTTTCATTTTCTCTTGTATTTTACTCTGCCACTGGTTGTATTATTAACAATAAAAAACTACAATTATTCAAATAATTGCAATTATTTTAATGGTTTAAATTTATTCAAATAATTTTAGATATCATGTGGCATGTGATTTAGAATAACATACCTTATAAATTCTCTATCTTGTTTTTTAATCAAATTACAGTTAGAACACCACTTAATGCAGACTGAAATATGAGTTGTTTCCAGTCCTTGTTGTAATAGTTCAAATATGAAGAAAATAAACAGAAATGAGAAAAACAAGCTATAATAATGTAGTGGATCTTCACACTACAGATTGCTCTTCAGTCTGGTTTTCCTCCTGATTTTTTTCACAGAAACTTCTGTATTCTTTTTGGTGTTTATTTTTTATTTTTTTGCTGTCCTTCCCAATTACCAAACAATCCAGCATCAGTTATACTGGGGGTGTTTCCCCACCAAAAATTACAAACTACTACTTCCTGTATCCTTCCTGCCCCATACTTGTGACAACACCAATGTACGTAAGGGAGAAAAACTACGTCTGATCTGAGCATCGCCTCGAGAAAAGAGAATAAGATGTTGGGTCTTTGCCAGTTCTACTGTCTTGGAACAACCTTCACTATGAAAACTCACACCACTATTATTGCCACAAAAAATTCCCTTCTCAATATTGTCAAGACCTTTTCTCAGATCTTACCGATTTCAGGCCAACTGTCTTTTCTTCAGCAACAAAGGGTTTTAAATCTCTGCAGGTTTGACCACCTGCAGAAGCCGCTAGCTGTTGAAGCTTGGAAAAATAACAACAAGTAGAGTATTTCCCATGATTTAATTCCCAAAATCTTGCACATGTGCTTAATTTAAAGTATGTGTGTATTCTCAGTGGAATCAGTGGGAATACGCAGATGACTAAAGGTAAGCAGATGTGTAAGTTGTAGGATCTGGGTCTGAAATTAAGACAAGCTTCAAGAAGTGAAAGCTGCAACAGAAGGGGAAATCACAGGTGACAGAAGCAATAAACAGTAATAATATTGTGGAGTCAACCTAAGACACATGTATATCATGACCATCATCACACTGTAATTTAAATTTTAAAAAGAAAAGTAAAAATGAATTCCCATTCACAAATCATTTTCTTAGAATGAGATACCTAGAGGCACAGGAGCTAAGTCACAAGGATGGAGTCAAATGAGGAAAAAGCAGGTTTTCAGAAGGACTGTTGACAAATATTGTTTCAAAGAGCATCTTCACTATACCATATAGAAAAAAAACACAACAAAACAAAACAACAAAAATGTTAGAGACATGCAGCTCCACAGCAGAGATGTTATAAAAGCAAAGAGCACTTGTTTGAGAGATGGCAAAAAAAAAAATCAAGAAAAGGTGAATTTGAATTTGTCTTCTGAAACTGAGGACAAGCAGTAAGCTCCTCTAGGGCTGCAAATGATGAGTCAATGGGAGGATCCAGTGGAGAGGTGACCTTAACCATAGTAGTGAGGAAGTGAAATCATCTATGGCAGCCCTGTCTGAATGAGCATTAGATAAAACAGAGAAGAGAAGGTGACCATTGTCAAAGCCAGAGATGATAAGAGCATTGGTGAAAGTCTCAGTTCTCTGAGCAGGAAAGCATCAGACTCAAGAATACTTTAAAAAAAAAAAAGTGTATGATTAATGTAATAGGAAATCACCAAACCCTTTTCTTTCACTGATTGATTTCAAAATTCTTCCTTGCCACTCATCTACTCAGCATTTTAAATGAACCTATAATATATAATCTGAAGGGATTAAAAAAAAAAAAAAAGAAAACAAAAAGAACTGGAAATGATATTAACAACATCCCCTGATTCACAGCTTCATTTTGGATGATAATACTGGCTTCAGTGTTTTACATAAGCATGCCTTGTACCATGCTGGTATTTCAGAGCTTATTTTGTACCTCCTGTTGATTTCTTTTCAGGAAGAATTCCTCCCCTCAAATTTCCAATCTCCATATCTCTACGGAGTTATTCCTTTGTTGTCACATACATATTCAAGATCTAGGCATTTAGTAAGAAGTAAACAGGTGTTAATATTCATTCTAATAATAATCTAGTTATATGAATTGTATATTTGACATTAAGCACCTGTTTAAAGAGATTTTTCTGGCTTAGCACCTATGCTCTTAGAATTAAGATAGTGAGAATGACAGATGACCTCCAAAGACCATGGGGCCTGTGGGTGGTATCTGTGGGTGGTCTTGAAGGGGAAGGAGATAGGGGTTTAGCAAGACTTTCAAAGGAAAAACACTTAAAAGAGAAATTCTTAGCTCAAATTTATGATGTACATTACCTGTGTCTTGAAAGTTTTATGCTGACAGAATCAGGGTGATTTCTCATGTCTGGCACTCAGTGGGAGCTCACAGTACAACTCAGAAAGGGGCTTTTGTTTTTAATATTCATTTTGACATTCACTCCAGCACAGAGATGGAGCTGAGTCACAGCTTTTGGAGTCGTAGCCACATCAGAAAATCCCTACAGTTTGAGGGCACTTGAACTGATAGTTTTGGCTCAAATCATCTCTGATCTACTTGTAAACAACTTGGCATCCCTCCTATTTGTACATACTCAG